GGCTGCCTGGGGCAGGGCCCCCGAGCGGGAGCCAAGGGTCCCTGTCTGTTTTCCGGGGTCTCTGCTTCCCGAGGCGCTGCACCAGCGGCATCCCCCACCACCACCCCCATTCCTCTCGCGTCTCCCCAGGTGGGTCTGCATCTCGTCTGCCCCCAGATGCCCTCAGGGTCGGGACGGGCCACACCTGAGTCCCACCTGGTGTCTTTACAAACAGGACGTGGGCTGCCTTCACCCGCCCTAGTGCTCATCGCCCTGGAGGGCGGGCTGGCTCCTGTGTCCCCCGCTGAGCGCACAGGAGAGTCTGAGCAGCAGGAAGGAAGGGCTCCGGAGCGGCCTCGGGAGGGCTTCCTGGGTGGGGCTCACCTGCTTTCCCAGAAGCAGCGTTTACGAACCCCTCCTGCCTGCCAGGTCTGTGCTGGTTCCTCTGCTCAAGCACCCCCGCTGGCCACTCCAGCTTAGGGGGAGGAGATGGATCCCATGACATGGAGCCGCTTCCCAGGGTCACACAGGCAGCAACGGGGGACCTGAGACGGAAGCCCATGCCCCTGGCACACGTGAGCTCCTGGCACACGTGAGCACCGGAAGCCAGGTGGCGCCCCCACCTTCGGTCACAGAAACCCGGAGGCGGAGGACGGGGTGGAGCAGTACTGGCCTGGCCATGCCCCCGGCAGCCACCTTGCCTTCACCGCCACCCCCCCCTCCCAGCAGCCTGCCTTGGAATCAGGTCCCCAAGGTGAGAACAGAGAGACAGAGGGAGCAAGCCCCCCAGGGCCGATCCCAGGCTCTGGACCGTGGCTCCCGTTTCAGGCCCAGGGGCTTGGGGGCGATTGGCACAGCTCACAGCCAAGACCAGCATCTTGGGAACAAAGCAGTTTNCAAGCCCCCCAGGGCCGATCCCGGGCTCTGGACCGTGGCTCCCGTTTCAGGCCCAGGGGCTTGGGGGCGATTGGCACAGCTCACAGCCAAGACCAGCATCTTGGGAACAAAGCAGTTTCCACTCCAGTGGCCTGGGGTGGCGAGGACAGCTTGAGGCAGAGTTGCAGTGCCTGGCCACCGGGATGAGCTGAGACTCTGCCCCTGCCCCCCGAGTGGGGAGACAAAGCCACCGCTTTCCGGGCCCTTGAGGGCATGAATGGTGGGAGGGGTGTCCCCCCAGGCCACCACACCTGGTGCCTCCCGGCCCACCTTCCATGACCGGTCTGGGTCACCTCTGAGGAGACCCTGCGAGTCAAACACACCAACCAACCAGAGTTGTCCATCCTGCTTGTGCACAGTTTAAATCATCACGACGAAATGATCTACTTACTCATCGCTGCAGGAGCTGTGCAGAGGTCAGTGAGCAGCCATGCGCAAAGAGGGAGCTTCCGGCCTGTCCCAGGACCCTGTTCCTCCCGCTGAGGAACTGCCGTGCGGCCAGTTCCCACATGCACACCCAGCCACCCAGGCCGAGAGGAGCCGCAAGGGTGCCAGAGCCAGGGGCTGAGGGTGGCATGGCCTCTCTGAGCTCCAAGACGGGCTGATCAACGCTGCCTGTGGCCCCAGGCTGGCGTGAGGGTGGCAGGGGGCACAGCCAGGGTTCTGACGCATGCCCACCCCCGTCTCAGCCCTGTCTGCGGCCGCCCCCCACCCTGGTGTCCCCTGAGGGGTCCACACCACTCACCTGGAGCCCTGAGCCCTGGAGGGTGGCCGGGTCTGGAGCATGGGTGGCCCCAGGTACAGCTCTGCGCTCTGCCCACCTAAGAGCCTGTCCGTTGCAGTCTGCCAGGCCCGTGGTCAGTGACACTGAGGGTCCCTGCTGCCAGGCCAGCAGGAGGGGCAGGCCGAGCACGGACACTCACGTAATCACACAGTGCCAGAAGTTCAGGGCACCCTGAGCAGTGTGCTGGGGGCTCTGGTCTCTGGGGTGTCCAACCGAGAAGGGGGTGGAGGGCGATGATTTTAGGAAGATTCAGGGTCACTAGGGAAGAAGGGGAAGGTGTTAAATGCAAGCCTGAGGCAGGGAGTGAAGAGTGGGTGCAAACAGGACGGGGGTGGGGGAACCCCCAAGATGAGGGGCTGCAGCCCAGGACGCCCAGAAGCCCTGTTCCTGTTCATGCTCCTTGTCCTACTCGGACCCCCAGGTCTGTCTCAGCAGCTGTTTGCAGACCAGCCAGTAGGGCAGCTTTTCCCAAACTGAGTCCCACAGATCACATGCCACAAGGCGCTTCCTGACAATGTTTCCGTGGAGAAACTACTTCCTGAAACCTACAAGCTCCACCCTTTCTGGGAGAATCCCAGGGCACATTAACTTCTCAAAAGCACTGGTAAGTCCTGCAGTGAAGGGGCCACCTCGCCTGCCTACTCACGCTGCCTCGGAGCCTCCTCGGAGCCTGGGCCGCGTACACGAGGGGCCTCGGGCCGTAGGGGGCTGAGGAACCCCCACGGAGAATCAGAGTCCGGACCTTTCCTCTCGAGACTGGCAGACTAGAATTGTGAGCCCCTAAGACGTGGGAGCCAGTGCTTTTCTGCTTCACTGGGCAGAAAACAGTGCATTAAAGCGCCGCTTCCAGCTCCTCTTACTCCGCTCAAGGGCAGCCCGTTTGGGGATCACCCCCCGGGCCCTGTCTTCTGAGCTCTGGGGGTGCCGAGTGATGGGGGTTGGGAGCCCGCCGGGGGCACACCTCGAGATCCGCGTCCCCCAGCTCACAGGTGATGACCTGAGAGCCCAGATGATCTCTGGGGTGGGGGGGCCGGAGTTCTGCGAGGCGGGCCAGCTGTCTCCCGTCCAACTTGGGAAGGGGAGAGGACACAGCCTTGCTCTGGGGGCTCACGGTCCAACACACAAGGCACCACGAGGGGCGCGGGACCCCAGGCAGGAGCAGAGGGAACGGACAGGCTCCCTCCGGGGCAGAGATTCCGGAAGAGGCGGTGCAGGTGACCCTCAGCGCCAGACCCACATGGGCCCAGCGCCACGTCCACTCCGTGCCCGAGAGCTCCGACCCCCGCCGCAGGGCTTGGTGGAGCCCTGCGCGCACAGCACCCCCGCCCTGGGGAGGCAGCCTGAGGGCTGAGCCAGGGCCCCAGCTAGACCCCCGGGGGGTGGGCAGAACCCTGAGTGTCCAAAGTGCCCGGGGCTGTCCTGGGCGTCCCTGACTCCCAGTGCTGTCCCTCACCATCAGTCCCCCCTCCCCACAGGGTGCAGCTCACAGGGGGGGAGAGATCCCTCTCCTTGGGGGCCCCCGATACTTCTCATAAAGCGCTCCCAGCGCAGCGGGGCACCAGCGCCCTGGGCTCGGCCCGCAGCACAGTCCCTCCAGGCTCGAGCAGCCCCACCACTTCCCATGGGGCCGCCCACCCGGAGGGGCTCACATGGGGGCTTCACANCACCAGCGCCCTGGGCTCGGCCCGCAGCACAGTCCCTCCAGGCTCGAGCAGCCCCACCACTTCCCATGGGGCCGCCCACCCGGAGGGGCTCACATGGGGGCTTCACAACCCTCTGAGCGCTCCGGCCCCTGAGACCAGGTTGTGGGGGAGGGGGTGGCTGGGTCCGCTGGACTCAGGTGAGCTCACAGGCGCTTCTCCTTCTTGCCTGACGCTTGGCTGTTACGTCTCCCCCGGCTTCGTTCACAAAGTAACCTAAAGCAGCTTACAAACTCCAGATTTCTAAAACTGGATCGACTTCTCCCCGCTTCCCCTTCCCCCACCTCCCTGCCTCTGGCAACCACCATTCTACCCTCCAGTTCTGAGTTCAGGGTTTTTTAGATTCCATATGTAAGTGAGATCACACAATGTTTCTTTCTGTATGTGGCTTGTCTCACAGGCTTCCCTGATAACTCAGTTGGTAAAGAATCCACCTACAATGCAGGAGACCCTGGTTCGATTCCTGGGTTGGGAAGATCCCCTGGAAAAGGGATAGGCTGTCCACTCCAGTATTCTTGGGCTCCCCTTGTGGCTCAGCTGATAAAGAATCCACCTGCAATGCAGGAGACCCTAGCTCGATCCCTGGGTTGGGAAGATCCCCTGGAGAAGGGAAAGGTTACCCATTCCAGTATTCTGGTCTGGAGAATCCCATGGACTATACAGTCCATGGGCTCGCGAAGAGTCGGACATGACTGAGAGACTTTCACTTATCTCACTTAGCACGACGTCCCCCAAGTTCATCCATGATGTTGAAAACAGCAGGACTTCCTGCTTTTTCTTGTTTAAGGCTGAATAATATTCCACTGTGTATGCACAGCATCTCTTCATCCAGCTGTCCATCAATGGACACAGGTAGTTTCCACATCCTGGCTATTGTGAATAATTCTGCCCTAAGTATTGGGATGTAGACGTCTCTTCAAAACTGATTCAAAAAATGAGTCTCAAGAAATGATTTCATTTCTCTCTGATAAATACCCCAAACTGGGGCAGCTGGATCGTATGGCAGTTCTGTTTTTAATTTTCTTTCCATCCTGTCTTCCAAAGTGGCTGCACTAGTTTACATTCAGTCCAACAGTGCATTGGTCAAGGATACCAAGCTTCTGTGATGAGTATGAATGTCCTAGAGATCTATCAAGCAGAGTGGTGACCTAGTTATAACACAGCACCATGTACTGGCAATTTCCTGAGAGACTAGACCCCGGCTCTGTCACCACACACGGAAGGCTAACTATGTGAGGAGGTGGATGAGTTCATTAGCGTGACTGGGAGATCATTTCCCAGCGTGTGGATGCACCAAAGCACCGTGTTATGCACCTTGCAAGAGTGCCCAGCTGTGTCTGACTCTCTGTGACCACACAGACTGTCGCCCACCAGGCTGCTCTGTCCATGGGAGTCTCCAGGCAAGAACACTGGGAAGAAAGTCAAGAGAAAGTGAAAGTCGCTCCATCGTGTCTGACTCTTTGCGACCCTGTGGACCATACAGTCCATGGAATTCTCCAGGCCAGAATACTGGAGTGGGTAGCCTTTCCCTTCTCCAGGGGGATCTTCCTGACCCAGTGATCAAACCCAGGTCTCCCGCATTGCAGGCANGGAGTTTGGAGACCTTTGTTCCACTTGTGACACCGAGTGTCTCATCCACGTGACTCTGGACTTGCAAAGGGCAGAGTGACCACACGGGGCAGGGAGCAGACAGGAAATCATTCATATGGAGGTTGCAGTGTCAGTGACGATGACGGGGGATGGCCTGGCCACGGCGTCCCCAGTGACGAGGGAGGAATCCTCAGGCGTGAACGTCCAGCTTGAAGGGCGGGACCCACAGGGCCGCTCCCCCCGGCAGCAGAGATGCCCACTCCAGCCCGGGTTCTCCCTCCAGAACTCAGTCAGATGGTCTTGAAGCTTCCTCTGACTCCCCCGGGCCCTAACCTCATGGCTCAAGGTGCACAAACAGGAGCTGGTGGGAGGTGAACCTGAGTGTTGAGGGGTGGCCCCCCATCCACAGGTTCATTTCTTCCCATGTCTCCTTGCTCCTAGGGAGAGGGCCTCACTTCTCTCAGGGTCATTCCAGAAGGAGGCAGAACCTTCCTGCAGCCTGAGCGGCACCTCCGGGCCTTTCCAGGCGGCTGGTCCACCTCTCGGCAGTGAGTCTGGGGTCTGGAGCCCAGACATGGTGTCGCGTCCAGACTCTCGAGTGTGCTGCCCCTGCAGGACAGCTCAGAGTCTCTGAGCCGCACCGGTCCCTCTCGTGGCCTCCACCTCCAGCACCGGCGAGCCCATCTCTGCACATAAAAGCCAGCGAATCACTCTCAAAGGAGCTGCCTCCGCCCTCCGCCTTCTCCCCTAAGAGGACAAGGAAGATCCTGGGCCCCAGCCTGATAAGAATCCTCCCGGCATATATCACAGTCAAAAGCTATTAAAGATTTAGCATAACACAGACGAGAGCCCATCTCCGGGGGCTACAGGGAGCAGCATCTTAAATAAAACCACCGTAGATCTTTCCTCTTGACAACAAGGCAGGCGGTGTGCGGCACGCAGAATCGATCCCTCCTCCCACTCAGATGGGCCCTGATTATTCCCTTAGAAGATGTCAGATCCTGGGCAGCAAGACATAAACCCCTGACATTGTCTTCAGAGGGGTTTTGCAGATGGTTGCAAATGGAAGACAGGCAGGGAAACAAGAGGGCCTGTGGTTTTGGACCACACGAGCCCATTCTTGGCGCTTTCTGATTTTCACCTTCTGGGCTAGGGGACACGGCCACCCAGGAGCCAGCCCCATCCTCACCTGCCCTAGAGGCCCCCGCCTCTGCCTCCAGGCTGCACACCACGCAGCTCCAGTCTGTGCGTCACGAAGGTCAGCTCGGGGGTGAACTGAGGACGATCAGACACCCATCAACAGGTAACTGGGCACCTGAAAATGGACACGAGGAGCAGCAATTGAAATGGGCTTCCAGGTGGCACAGTGGTAAAGAACCCGCCTGCCAGTGCAGGGGACGTGAGACTCGGATTCAACCCCTGGGTTGGGAAGATCCCCTGGAGGAGGGCGTGGCAGCCCACTCCAGTATTCTTGCCTGGAGAATCCCACGGACAGAGGAGCCTGGTGGGCTACAGCCCATGGGGTCGCAAAGAGTCAGACATGATTGAAACGACTTAGCACAATTGAAATGGGGTCCCAGGAATCCCACCCCCCACCCCAGGTAGCACTTGAAGCCAGATGTGAAAGGAGCTGGTCCTCTGCAGGATGCTCACGTTCCCCTGCTCTCCCAGCAGTCCCGGGGAGAAGCTGCTCAGAAGAGCCAGCTCCGTGGCCTGGAGGCGGCGGGGGGAGGACTGCATCCTCCAGACTCACTCTGAGTGGTCTCTGACCCCGCGCCTTGGGGGCATCTCCCTCTGCTTCCTGCTGGGCAGAGAAACTGCTCCCAGGCCGGTGAGGACCCCAGGCCAGCTCAGGGGGCAAGGAGGGGAGCCTGCCACTGCTAAGTTCATCACCCCACTTCTCCACAGCACCCTGTGCCCGCAGCTCAGGGGTCCCCATCCAGGGCTCAGGGGTCTGCGTGGCGCTCTAGGCTTGGCAGGAGTTTCCGAGGGTGGCACCCAGCAGGGAGGCCCCACCCCCTCGGCCCCCGGCTCCTGGACGAAGTCTGCTAAAGCCTTTCCACCTTCACCTGGAATGGCATCCCACACCCTCGCTGCACATTGCAAACCGCTTTAAATTCCCAAACCCTGAGACAAGGACAGAGTTCCAGGNGTGATGGGGCTGGTGCCACCAGGGCCCAGCGTCCTGGGGTGGGAAGGCAAGGAGGCGGTCTGCCTGCCAGGGGTCCCCCAGAGTCCAGCCAGCCTGGAAGCAGGACGTTTGCCTCCCAGAAACCAAGGGCACAGCTTCAGGGCAGGGAGTCGGTAGACCCATCCCTGAGGGCCCAGGAACACCAATGTATAGCCATCTCCTTGGCTGGTAACCCCGTCTTCCTGCAGGCCCCCAACACATGCACACATGCACACACACACACACACACACACACACCCTCTCCAGCCGCCTGTGGAGACTCTGCTCTTCCAGCGGGCAGGGTCACTGTGCAAACGTAATCGCCCCTGTGTTGACGGATCCTGTGCATCGGCTTGGCCAGGCCATGGTGCCCAGATGTGTGGTCACACGGAAAACGCTGCGGTCCTGAGAGAAGTAATTCTGCCTTAAGGCTGCTGCATCGACATGCAGGGTGGCAGAGCATGAGATGGTTGGATGGCATCACCGACTCAAACGACATGAACTTGAGTAAACTCTGGGCGATAGTGGAGGACAGGGAAACCTGGCGGGCTGCAGTCCATGGGATCGCAGCGTTGGACACAACTGAGCAACGGAACAACAACAGGCAACATGCATGCAGATTTCAGGGGTGTGTGTGTGTGTGTGTGTGTGTGTGTACACGTGCTGTTGGTTCTCCTTCTCGGGAGAGACCTGGACTGATATAATCCCTTGTTGTTGCTGTTGTTCAGTCGCCAAGTTGTGTCTGACTCTTTGTGACTCCAAGGACTGCAGCACGCCAGGATTCCCTGTCCTTCACTATCTCCCGGAGTTTGCTCAAACTCATGTCCATGGAGTTGATGAGGCCATCCAACCATCTCATCCTCTGCTTCCACATTTTCCCCTTTTCTTTGCCAAGAAGTGATGGGACATAGCCCCTTGATGCAGGGTTACTGGAGAAGATTTAGACATGGAGAAGTAAGAGTGCAGACACTAGGGCTAGCAGTGCTACACAGCTCCCACTGTTCCTGCAGGGGCCGGGTCTGCATAAGCCCTGAGTGCCAAGGAGAGGAGATGAGGGCGGCAGGGAGGGGGTTGTGAGCCTTCAGGGTGGCAGCGCTGGCCCCAGCTCCATCGTCCCCCCAGAACGAATGCACCGTGTCTTCCTGGATCCCAGAGCTCATCCCCTCCGGAACCTCTGAACCCCCGTGGGGATTTTGTGGGGACTCTCCCTTGCTGGGGCCCTCTTGGCCCAAACCAGTCCCAGCCCATCCCCTGCAGAAGCTCACACAGTCACATCACAGCCACGCATCCCTGTACTGGTTCAGCAGCCCGGCGCCTCGCCTCCGTGGGCAGAACTCCCTCCGCCCTCTGCAACGGCCCTGGGTGCGCTGCCCAGGTGCCCGTCTAAGGCAGAGCTGCAAGGCACATCGCCGTCCACTGCCAGCCCCTCCGGGGTGGCCCCAGCTGCAGCAGCCCTCTCACCGGTGCCTGGCCTTCCTGGGACCGCCAGTGCCCACCAGTGGAGGGTAAGGACCTGGCACCTGGGCCATCCCAGCCCAGCCGTTCTTCCCCGCAGCCCCCAGCGGGCTCCTGAGGCTGTCCCGCTTCCATCACAGCTGGGCCCCCGCTCCTGCCTGCTCCAGCTTCTCCCCCACCCCGGGGGTCAGCCCTCAGCATGCGTCCTGCAAGCCAAGCTCCATCCCTCTGCCTGCAGGGGACCCAAGCTGCATGGCCTCAGGCGCTACCGCACGCTCATCCCTGGTCACCAGAGGCACACTAGAGGCACCGAAGTTCTTCAGGAGGAAGGTGCCACGCGGGCCCCTACTCACACAGAGCCCCCGCCCCCGGCCCGCCTCCACGGTAGGCTCTTCCCGCGAAGATCCGAGAGGTCTCAGGGTCCCTCTCACTGGGCAGCCCCTCCAACCCCTCAGAGCTTACGGGAGAAGGAGACAAAGTCTGCATGCCCCCAGGATCATGTGTTGAGGCCCTAACACCCACTCCACAAGTACAGGTCCCCACTGAACCCAGCCATGAAGGTGCCCACTCTGGGCGGAACATCCCAAACCCTGGGTCTGCTCTGTGGAGGAAGACACATCCTCTCAGCATCTGGCAGCACAGCCTTGGGAGGAAGGATTGAACCACTCACCTCTGCGGCTTCTGAGACCTTCAGGATAAACCCATAAAACTGCAAACAGGACTTCTGCTTCTGGCCTGAAGCAACTTAAAGAAAAAGAAAGCAAACAGGTAAGCCATAGCAACCACAGTTCTCAAGACCCTGGACAGCAGGCAGAAAGGACAATGATCATGAGATGGGGACAAGTGATGAGAGGCCTGAGGTTGGCTTGAAGCATGGAATCGGGGAGACACAGTCAGAGCCTGGTGGCTGCCCTTGATTTAGATGCTGAGGGCCAGGCAGGAACAAGCCTCCAGGCTCATGTCGGAGCACTGGAGGAGAGGGATCTATAAAGGCCGACAGCTCTGGAGGTCTTCAGAGGCCCCTTGAGCATTCAGGTGAAGACCCATAGTTGCATATGTGTGAGGCAACTGCCCAAAACTGGAGGAAGAGCCACCTGAAAGGATCAGAGGGCAGAGCGCCTGACACTCAGTCACAGGCGGGAGGCGCTCCCATCCCCACCAACCAGCGTGGAGACCAGCGTGAGGTCACCGCCGCAGGGCGTCAGGTCCGTGCTCAGACGCGCTGTCTCTGGACTAGGGCAACTCTGGGCTGAGCGGTGCTCTAGTCCCACCTGCCCAGGTCCATGAACAAGACACAAAAGGTCAAAGTGCTGCCAGTAAACCCCACCGTGGCCCTGCACACGGCCAGGAGTGCTCCTGGGAACACAAACACACCCAGCACCCGAAAGGTGAACACACAATGTCCAACATCCAATCAAAAATTACCAGACATGCAAAGAAGCAGGAAAATGTGACCCACAGTGAGGAGAAAAATCATTTGAGACCAATCCAGAAAATAGCACAAATAATCCAATCAGCTATTAATAGTTGGGGACAACAATAGACTTATTATAACTGCTCAACAAGCTAGAGGAAAGATCACAACTAAAGAAATAACCAGTGAACTTTAAGAGACTAAAAAAAATCACAATATCTAAAATGAAAAATACTCTGGATGGTATTAACAGCAGATTAGATGCTGCAGAGGAACAGATCAGTGAACTTGAAACACAGCAATAGGAACTTACCAAAATGAAACTGAAAAAGACTTGGGAAAAAAAATGAACAGCGTATCAGAGAGCTGTGAGACCTCTGGCCTCAATGTCCAGGACATGCTCTGCTCCCCTGCACCCTCCCTGGGAAGCTGCCCAGAGACGAGGATGGTCCCCAGCACAGAGAACTTTAAAACACGGAGGAAAGGGATGTCTGCAGACCCAGGGGTAGGTCAGCCAAAGCACGGAGGTGTGGTCACAGTCGCTCAGCTGCTCTCAGAGCTGGAACCCCACTGAACACAGGCGTGCCTCCATGTGCAAAGCATACATGCCCACACATGTATGCACGCGCCCTCATGGACACATACACGCACACTGCACTTGTCCACTCCTGCATGGAGTGTGGAAGACAAAGACCCCCAGGTGAAATCAGGGGGCTGTGTTCCTGACGTCTGGCTCCCGGAGGTGCTAACAAACTCAAGGCCCAATCACACCGACCCCTGGGAAGAGCCCTCACAGAGAGATGGCCAGAGAGTGAAATGGACCCCAGTGGTTCGTTGGCCAAGGCGACAAACACCCTTAGCAGCCTGGGAGACCAGAGAGAGGCCCCACCCACTTTCAGCCCAGGAGATGCCTTGATGCGTGGGGCCAGGGGCACTGCAGTGAGCATCCCTCAGGGAACCAGAAAATGTCCTGCATAGGGGTGGGGGGGTCAGACGAGGGAGGAGCCGGGCAGAGGTAGAACAGAGAAGCAGGTACGGATGAGGCTGGGGGAGGGGCCTCTGTGATTCCATTTAGGAAAGAAAACAGTTTCTCACACATACGTGCATACACACACACACACACACACCACACCACACACGTCCCTGGAAGAGAGGTACCACACAGCACGGTTTCCCCGTTATCACTGCTCGGAATCAAACTTAACACCATGACCTGGAACAAAAATAGAATTCATTTCAAATCTCATTTCAAGAGAAACACAATGTAAATAAAGAAATGATTTGCTAATTAAATCCTCTTTAAATTTAGTATACGATTAAACAGAAGCTTATGGAATCTGCGAGTTGGCACAAGGCAAGATTCTTTTTTCCCAAAAAATGTTAATTTAGAAGTGGACTGATTTAGCCCCGACGTGATACTGCTCTTCTAAGCACCACGATCGGGAGATTCCACACGAAGCCTGGAGTGCGAGTTTATTCCTGGAGAACATCTGCCTCTCCAGGAGGAGCAGGAAGCCAGGCAGGCGACGGCCGACCCTTAGCCACGACCTGGAGCGTGGGGCCCACAGAGAAACCCACAGAGGGCGGGTGCGGGGCTCCTCCTCTGCGGGGCTGGTCCCCCACCCCGTGCGGCACCGGCATCTTCGCCCAAGGCTTCTGAATGGAGGAGCGTCACCACGGCACAGCCCCCTCCTGGGCCCCCGGCCCTCGCTCCCCAGCCGCCCCCTGACTGCTTGGGGGCGTAACTGCCTGCTGGGCGCTTTCCAGTTCCCACCCTAGCTCCTCACCTCCCAGCCTTTGCCCCACCCCTTCCTGCCCCCGCCTGCCCGGCTCACCCACTCCCAATTCCCTAGGCCAGTCATCCAGCACAGGGCCGGCAAAGACAGACATGTGTGTGCACAGGCATGCCTGTGTGCTGTGCCCTGGGAGCATGTGTGCATGTGTCTGTATACGTCATGCGTGCTCAGGTGCCTGTTAATGAACACACATGGACATGTGCACATGTGTGAGTGTTTTAGCGAACATTTTAATCACATATATAAATTAAAGATAAAGCCACATGCATTTTTCAAGGATGCAATCTAAATTTTAAAATTATTTATTAAAATGAATGGCAGATGCAACTTATGATACAAATTGAAATTTTACATCAAAGTTATTTCAACAAAGTTGATTATTATTTAATTTTCTGGCAAGTAAGTCACTACTTGGAAATGAAATTTTGTTGTGCAGGAACCGCTTGCTCTCACACAGTCTGAGAAGGAAGCTTGGCCCTTTAATTTGTCTTCTTTTACTGAAGCACTTTTGCCGCCTGACCCTCCTGGCCCGCGCATCTGCACCGAGGTCCCACCCCACCGTCAGCGGCACGCAGACCACACGGCCGGATACGGCCCCTCCTGTTCCCAGGACGAGGGCGCTCCTCTGGGGCCTGGTGGCTGAGTGTGTGCTCTCATACCCCGGGTGTGAGTGTGTGAGCATGCAGTAGTGTGTGTCCATGAAGGGGCCTCACCACAGCGCAGAGTCCAGGGTAAGCGCCCTGGTGGCTGAGTCCAAGGGCAGTAACCTAAGTGTGCACCATGCACACACACACGTGAGGAAGTGTGTGTGCACCATGTGAAGGCATGCATGTGTGCATGGCGGGTGTGCACCAGAGTGTCCAGGCTACCCGCACATATGTGAGTACCACAGCTGTGTGTGTACACGTGTCACACAGACATGTGAGCCTGGGCGCGCACACAGGGTGTGCGTGTGTATGCACACGTACGCAGGGTTGCACACATGTGTCTGCACACGCCAGTATGCCCGTGGTACACACAGGAACGGTCACCAGACAGAACTGCTGGCACTCTGCCCCAGACGCGACCCCGTCCCCAGTGCGTTAGGACGCGTGCCCCGTGGGGCTTCCTCTCATAGTGCCCACTTCGTGTCTCAGACCCGTCCTGCACACAGGAACGGTCACCAGACAGAACTGCTGGCACTCTGCCCCAGACGCGACCCCGTCCCCAGTGCGTCAGGACGCGTGCCCCGTGGGTGCCCACTCCATGTCTCAGACCCACCTGCATCCTGGGAGTCTGAAGGCCTCTGCAAGGACTTGTCCTGACCCCTGGCTCCGCACGCCCTCCTTTGGGGTGGGGGTGGGGAGTCCCCTCCCCGCCCGCAGGGGTCCACAGGCCTGCCCGAGCCCCAGGACCCTCTGCCCCCCGCCCCCGGGGGCCCGTCCCGGGCTCCGGGCCTGTCCTCGCCAGCGCCCCCCACCCCCCTCCGCACAGCAGGTGTGCGCGCCGGAGGGGTGCTCCCCGCCCCCGGGGGCCCGCCGGCCTGCCCGAGCCCCAGGACCCTCTGCCCCCCGCCCCCGGGGGTCCGCGGGCCTGTCCGAGCCCCAAGACCCTCTGCTCCCCGCCCCCGGGGGTCCGCAGGCCTGCCTGAGCCCCAGGACCCTCTGCTCCCCGCCCCCGGGGGTCCGCGGGCCTGTCCGAGCCCCAGGACCCTTTTGTCCCCGCCCCTGGGGGTCCGCGGGCCTGCCTGAGCCCCAGGACCCTTTTGTCCCCGCCCCCGGGGGCCCGCAGGCCTGTCCGAGCCCCAGGACCCTTTTGTCCCAGCCCCCGGGGGTCCGCAGGCCTGCCCGAGCCCCAGGACCCTTTTCTCCTGTGCTGGCACTTTTAGTCTTGGGGGGATGCTGTGCTTTCTGTTTGGCTTTGTTTTTTAGCTTTTGGTAGTAGTTATTAATGTTTTTCATTTCCTCAAAAATTACAGCTGTTGGGATGTTAATGGAGTTAATTGTTACATTCAGCAGCTGGAGGGGCAATTTAGCACCTGCTGATAAGGACATGGGTTTGAAGTTTGGAGAAAATGACCAGATTACCCAGTGTCATCGCGTCAGTCGGTGGCAAGTGGAAATTATGAAGGCAGGGCGTGTGGGGGGCGGCGGTGCTGGAGAGCCTGCTGGGCGTGTGGCACGTCCTGGCCGGCTGGCCGTGCGGGTCTGGCCCGGCATCCTCTTGTCTCCATGACAGGTCCTGAGAGTTTCAATCAGACCCATTCTGTAGAGCATATCTGCGTGTCGAGGGGTGGGAGTGAAGCCAGATCCAGCAGGGCTGCTGCAGGCCTGGGCGGCAGGCCAGCATGTCCTCACGGAGCCTGGGGCTGGGGTGGGGGACGGTGGGCCGTCGGGGCAGAGCCCGCTGCCCTCCTGCATGCGGCCCTATCTCCCCACAGTCACGGGTCTGCAGGTTCAGCCTGTCGCTGGCTCGCCTCCCTGCTGGCGGAGACCGAGGCCGGGAGGAGAGGAGCCTCCTCCTTCGCCCTCTCTCCATCCCACCCTGAATTCTCAGGCTGAGCAGGGACGAGAGCAGCAGATCAGGAACCAGCACCAGGGAGCCTCGCCCGGAATCCCGTCTCCTTCGAGAAGCCGCAGCTTGTCCGAGGCTGCCTTCTCTTCCAGGAGTCACCGGTCTCTCTGCTCCCAGCAGCTTCCCTCCTGGGCCTTCAGACCACCCGACCAGCGCCCCCCCCTCACCCCGGGGCTCCCGGGCTCTGGGATCTGGAGGTGCTCCCTCCCTGCCTGGCACAGGTGGGGCACACCTGACCGGGCCAGATGCCGCCCCAGGCCCTGTGCCAACGTCTCCGCTGGTCACCATCACAGCACCCCCAGGGGTCCTCACTGCACTCCGTGGGGCCGGGAGTGGACTCCCAAGGCCCTCAGGGGTGGATTCTGTGTCGGAACCTGCCTTCATCTCCTAGAGCTGTCATAACCAATGGCCACAAGTGGGGGGCTTAGAACAACAGGGATTTGTTGGCTCACGGTTCTCAAGGCCAGAAGCCCGAGTGCAAAATGTGGTCAGGGCTGGTTCCTTTTAGAGAACTGCTCCCGTGGCTGTCTCCTAGCTCCTGGGGATGCCAGCAACCTCAGCTTGGAGACGCATCACGTTCCGGGGGGGCGCTGGGGAGCTGGGGAATTCCCCTTGGACCGACAAAGAGAACACAGAAGCCTTGTCCCACGTGCCAGCTAAGGGGTTCGGGTCCAGCCAGCAGGCGGTATCCCCCTGGAAATGGCGGCCAACACATGCTCCCTGGCCTGTATTATGGTCTACGCAGACGGGTGCCCCAGGACGGCCCACCCAAGGGGGAAGGGCAGTTGTGGAAACGAGGCCTCCGCCTCTGCTCCCCAGGGCGGCCCGCCCGGCCCCTCGCAAGCAGGCTCCATTCCTCTCTCTGTCCCTCTGCGTGTCACACACACACACAGAAGCCCGCTCAGACTTCAGGTAACCAGGAGGCGGGCTTCTCCTGGGAGAAGCGAGGTCTACCTTTCCAGAGCCAGAGGTGCAGTGGTTTGCTGGGGCGGCCCCCCACCAGCAAACACGGGAAACCCCATCTCTTCCCATGTCCATGGTGAGGGCCTCACCTGGACGGCGGGAAATCAGCCTCCCAGAAGTGTTTATACCCCAGAAATCGGCACAAGGCAGGAATAGCACAGCACAGGCGTGGTCCTCCCAGGACAACCTGGTCACTCTGGGCAGCCGGGCTCAGTGTTAGCAGATGGATGGTCTTCCTGCTGTCTCAAGAAGCAAGAGCAGAACGATAATGAAACCGGGAAGCAGGCTTGTTTATTACCGAAGGCCGATAGTTCTATTTCTGTTTCCAGGTTGGTAGGCTCCGCCCTGAGTGAAGCCCGCTCAGACTTCAGGTAACCAGGAGGCGGGCTTCTCCTGGGAGAAGCAAGGTCTACCTTTCCAGAGCCAGAGGTGCAGTGGTTTGCTGGGGCGGCCCCCCACCAGCAAACACGGGAAACCCCATCTCTTCCCATGTCCACGGTGAGGGCCTCACCTGGACAGCGGGAAATCAGCCTCCCAGAAGTGTTTATACCCCAGAAATCGGCACAAGGCAGGAATAGCACAGCACAGGCGTGGTCCTCCCAGGACAGCCTGGTCACTCTGGGCAGCCGGGCTCAGTGTTAGCAGATGGATGGTCTTCCTGCTGTCTCAAGAAGCAAGAGCAGACGAAAATGAAACCGGGAAGCAGGCTTGTTTATTACCGAAGGCCGATAGTTCTATTTCTGTTTCCAGGTTGGTAGGCTCCGCCCTGAGCATGACTGTTTTTCTGGCCTAAGGTGCTGAGTACCTGAACTTCGTGGCAGCTTCCGTGGACTCCCAGAGACCCCTCCGTGTCTGCGGCTGCATCTTTCAGCATCGCGGGCCACCAGGAGCGGGGTTTCTACCCGCAGCAGCTTTTCAACAATGACAGCTTTGTTTCAAACAGTGAAAAACAGAAGGCCAGTGTGTCTCTGGTTACACTCATTCTATTGTTTGCATGATGTAGGGTAAATATTTAAAATACAGCTTAGACACCTTCTGAGAACAAGCCGCCGAGTCTGCTGTGTGTGTGTGCATGTGTGTGTATGAAATATCACTAAATCTGTGCTTTCAGATATAGGTGCTCAGCACCCCGACAAAGACCAGACCTGCTTACGGGGCTTAACTGCGTACAAGTCTTCTCACAGAGTCTTCACCACGTGGTACCTCTTGTTTTTAAATAACAGCCCTCCAAATGTTGCATGTTAGCACCTCGTGGACATTGTCAGGAGCTGCTTCCTAAGTAAGACAGATCAAGGGACGCGGAGCTGGGAGGAAATCAAATCGCCTGGGCTAGGGCTCAGGCCACGTTTGATTTTCTGGGAAAATCAGATTCATTTCTATCTCTGAGGACTGGCAGGGCCTGGCCTAATGAGGAGCCTAAGCTTCTGAGACATAGAAAACCCTCCAAGTTTTGAGGCTTTTGCATCTCAACAGAGATTTTGGAAAGAAATCCAGCCTGTGCTGCCAGGAAGCAGAGGGTGTGGTAGGTCAGAGCCCCTCGGGCGGGGCTGGCCCCCTGCTCACTGGTTGTATAGACTCGGTCAGGACACAGGCCTCTCCAGGACAGATCTGTGCACACTGGGCCACTCCAGCCTGACATGCCGTGAGTCCACCACCCTTGACTCCCTCCCCAGCTCCAGACCGAGGGGCAGCCAGGGGACCAGCAGGACTGGGTAAGGAGGGAGCAGTGAGCATTAACCGTACGTGTCAGCTCAACTGGGCCACGGGCACCCAGAGAGATGCCCAACCGTGACTCTGGGCGTCTCCATGAGGGTCTGGGGTGACATTTACATCAGTAGACAGGAAAGCTGACTGTCCTCCCAGTCTGGCGAGCCTCACCCAACCAGTTGAAGGCCTAGATGGAACAAAAGGCTGACCCTCCCCAGAGGAGAGAGGCTTACTCCTGCTGACGGCCTTTCAGCTGGACAGCAGGCTTGTCTTGCCTTTGCACTCGAGCTGAAGCATCAGCTGGTCCAGGGTCTTGAATCTTTAGCCTTCAGACCGGAACTTATGCCACTGGCTCTCCTGGGTGTTCAGCCTGCAGACTACTGGTATGGAGACTTGGCCACCACAGCCACATGAGCTAATGCCTTACAATAAGTATCCTATAAGTTACCATATATCGTAAAATATATAGCTTCTTATATACGAGTGTGTGATAGGATATACTGGCTTCCTTGGCGGCTCAGTGGTAAAGAACCTGCCTGTCAGTGCCGGAGACACAGGAGATGCCAGTTTGACCCCTGAATTGGGAAGATGCCCTGGAGAAGGACATGGCAACCCACACCAGTGTTCTTGCCTGGAGAACCGCACAGACAGAGGTGCCTGGTGGGCTACAGTCCGTGTGGTCACAGACTTGTGACAGAGAGTCACGGCGTAGTGACTCAACAGCATACGTATATGTGTGTGTGTGTGGTATGTATATACAGAAGGGGAAGGTGCAGGAAGGGCCCCACGGCCCAGCTCCCCCCACACCCCCCACCAGCTTTACTCCTCTGCCTGGGTCGTGACTCACACGGGTCCCACAAGAGCCATCTCTACATCGACAGACTGAAAGGATGGACCGCCAGCTCCTCGGGCAGAGAATAGACGAGAAGTGTGGGCTTCTGTGGGCTTCAGGGGTCAACCTGATCATGGGGTGCAGGGCTCCCCGGGGTCGTTCTGCCACCGCTCAGCATTGACCCAGAGCAAGCGACCTGGCCCCCGATCCCCGGGAGAGAAGAAGGGGCACCTCACTGAGCTGCCCTTCGGGGCCGACAAGCTATGTGTGAGCTGCCACGTCACCTGTGAATGACCCCGAAACATGTGGCGTGGGGACATCAGGAACAGGGACAGCAGGCCTTGGATCCACCCACCGCCCCCTCCTCCCCCCACCAGCCTGCCCACCATGTGACTCGCCCAGAACGGGCCCACGTGGAGTTTCCCAGCAGAGCGCCTTGGAAACACAGCAGGACCCCACAGCCCAGCAGCCTGGGTCAGAGTCAGCCAGCATCCTCCCGCAAAGCTAATGCCCCGGTCCCAGGAGGGGGCAGGACAGGTCTCGGCTCCAGACAATGGAAGAGCAGAGATTCAATAGCAAAGTCCTCTTGGTCCAGGCTTCTGTGTTAAAGAAAGGACTCGTTACAAACAGCAGAACCTTCAAGTTAGACAGATGGGGGAAGAACTCTGAAATGTGCTTGTTTGCCTAATTTAGAATAATTGCAATCCACTACATTAGGGCATCAGGTTTTCAGCATCTTAGTGAGAAGCTTGGGGTGAGAAGGGGAGCGCTTTCTGGCAAATTAAGATGAAGCTGAAAAGGCCAGTTTCCTGGCTGGTACCCAGCGCCTGTCACTCTCCCTTCGTCTCCGTGGGGGCCGTACCCGGCTCCTCGTCACAGACAGCTGGCCGGTCCAGAGCCAACTGCTAGCAAGTCAGAGACGAGAACCCGGAGGGGGCAAGAAAGAGGAGCAGGCGGCCAGGCCCTCCTGGACCACACAGGCAAGCGCAGCCACCTCGGCCCCTCCGTCTGCCCCCCACGCCGGAATGTTCTGGAGATGTGCTGGCCTAACTGCCTTTGTGCCTTTATGCAACCGAGTCCAGCGCGGTTCCAGAACCTTCATGCTGATCTTGGCTCCCGGCCAGCCCCTGCCGGTTCACAGTCCTGTTCTGCCAAAGACTCAGGGAAGGAGACTTCTGCTGCTGAGACAGATTCAAGTGTCTCAGTTCCAATAGCCTTGTGCTTCAGATGGGGAAACTGAGTCCCGCACCTGTGCCCACAGGGAGGAAACTGGGCGAGACCGCCAGGCTGTCTCCATGGCTCTCACTGCCGTTTCTGCTCCCTGGACTTCCAGCCGAGCCCGGGGCCCTAGACCCAACCACCACCACTTGTCCCAGTTTTATCTGCACCAATTCCCACCAGATTTCTAGTAAGCAAACCGGTGCTATAGAAATAAACACCAAGACGGCACATCAAGCCACTCAACATTCCTCTGAGTCCCAAGTCCTCTCGAGCCAGAGACTCAGGATCCCTCCTTTAAACCCCAAGTTGTGGGATCCAGACTGGCCCGTAGAGGTGGACGAAGGTCCCAAGCCATTGACTTTCACACCAACAACAGCAGCTCAACCTGACCCTCAAGATGCAGAGAAGACTGAAGAACAGCCCAGTGTTGTCTCCACGGAATCAGGACCCTGGCATGTCCTGCTTCCCACTCAAACAGGGCTGAGTGGTGTCTGCCTCCCGGGTTCCCACGTGCCACCCTGCCGGTGGTCAGCTGGACAGGCCACCCTTCTGCTCCCTGTGGTCCAGCCGCTGGGCCCCGACCTTCAGAGCCCCCTCGGGTCCGCCCTCCACTTAGTTTAAGTGTCCCCTTCAAGGTGGACACAGGGCAACACACAGCTAAGCCATCAGCCGCAGCCAGAAGTTTATATCTCCACAAACCTTGCTTTAAACTACTCTGTAATCTTATTTGGAACCCAGCGGGGGCCTCGTGAATTGCAGGTGTTCACAGACACGCAGAACCAACTCAGCCCTAAGTGCGTTAACAATGACGGCTTAGTTGAACAATTTAGGCTCTCCTTAAGTTTCCTTTTCTTTTTTTTGGCCACATGCAGCATGTGGGGTCTAGTCCCTGATCGCAGGGATCGAACCCATGCCGTCTGCACTGGAAGCACAGAATCTTAACCCCTGGACTGCCAGGAAGTTTTCATTTTTAAGGCTCAACCATCAGTAGCCAGTGACAGGCTGGGACAGAGGAGCCCTGTGCAAGCAGACTCATTGCTGAGAGCCCCACCGTCACATATGTTTACACCACAAGAGGACCACCAGCCGGGGCACTGGAGGGGCCGGGCCGGAAGAGCGGGGTTCCCACCTTCAGACTTGGCATGCACTGGCCACTGGCCAGGCCTGCCCTCTTCCAAGACCCTCTGCCACCCTCCCAGGTCCCAGCAGGGACATCCGTGGACTCTGGGTGTTTCTGCAGCTGATCACCGGCTGGAGAGGGCCCTGTGCCCTCCGCCTGGTGGACCCTTGCCATGGATTCAGGACGCAGGTGGGACATGTGGTGACAGGACTCCCGTGAGGGGCAGGAAAAAGGTGCTGGGAGCAGGCGGCTGAGGACAGAGAGGTCAGGACATCAGACATGGGGAGCGCGGCAGACGTGTGGAGGTCCCCAGTGTAGAGGTCAATCCGGGACACACCTGAGGCCTAAGGCTGGGGCAGGTCCCCAGGGG